TAATAAAAAAAAAATATCAGCAGAATAAATGATGCCCAGCCGTGAGCCAAAGCCAGCAGGTAGTTAGTGTGCTACTTAAGCGACAACCCATAAAAAGTGTTTGCTGGATGCTCTTTGAGTTCAAATTAAGACGTTGTTTAGCTTCCCAGTTGTGCTATTTAAAGCCAAGGGACAAAATCGATGGCTTTCCTTTGAAACTTATTGCCAAGATTAGATTCCCCCCTCCCCCAAATGCATACACTGTTGCTATGCACCAATGACAATTATTTCAGAAATAAGAAATTAGAAATACACATTGTTGAGTGCAATCCAATGAAGTAAGCACAGAACACTACCAGAAAAGAGGAAGCACCAGAGAAAAGTGAAACTAGCCAAATTTCTTAGAATAACTTATTCAAAAGTAATGAGAAATAGTACTTCCAGCAGGTGGACAGAGTCGACTCCCCAGCCATGCGGGAATCGCTGTGAAAGCAGCCAGGACACAGTCAATTTGGAATTGTTCCTAATGCTGCAAAGAAAAGTGATCAGGATGGGAAAGCAAGCACTGTCGGGAACCAGATGTGGCCAGCTCCCCCCAGAAGCCTGGAAATGGGCGGACACAACTTGAAAGGAAGAAACCATAATTTCTAACACAATTCCAGAGGCCTGCGGGAGCCATTTCCCCACTTACTTCTGGCCGGAGGTGTCCACCGCCTGAATATAGAAATAGCGCGCGGGCAGGACCACCGCAGCCCTCAGCCCCGGGCCCCATACTTCGCTCTTCTCGGGGCTCAGTCGCCTCTCTCCGCCGGTCTCGGTCAGCGCTGGAACCGCTCCCAGAGAGAAGCAGCAAAGCAGCAAAATGCTACACATTTACAAGACGGACGCCCAAGATGATCGACGGATAAACTAAGTGTCAGGGGCAGGGGCACGTTGACCGATTGCTGCAGCAAAGGGGGCTCCCAGAGGTGTCGCTGTGCTGGGCAGGCGCGCGCGGCCCCACTTTGCCCCGGAAAAATCAGCGCCGCAGCGCAGGCTCGTCCCGCTGCAGAATGCCAGTCGCCAGGCAGAAGCAGGGAGGAAAGACGCCTCTGCTCTTTCTCGGGACAAAGATAAACTTACGTTGCTCCCGCAACTGGAGCATCATTGGGGGGCGCACCCGTCTCAGGTTCCAGCCCAAGGTGCAGGGCGAGCGGATTGGCCGGCGCGTCGGGCCGAGCTGAACAAGACGGTCTCTAAATGGATGGCGGGGAGGACGCGTGTCCGGGCTTGCAGGATTCCTGGGACGTGTAGTTCGCCCCCGGAATAGCGGAAATCCTGCCGGGTTTTACCTTCTCCCCCTCATTCATGCACTTAGCAGTTACCGCTTTCAGGGCAGAGACTCCTACCACAGAGACCCCAGGGAGGGGCGCGCGGGTCTGGAGGCGCCGCTCAGAGCGATCAGAACAAAAACTTGTGGCCACAGCCCCGCGCGCAGAGGGCAGGTGTGCACCGCGATGAAGGGAAGCCGCCGCCAGTGAGGCTGATGACCGCTCGCCGGGCGCCGCGGGGCTGGGCGCTGACCCCACGCGCTCCGATGGGATGAGCGACGCCACCCGCACGGCACCCCGAGGCGCTCCTTCGGCCGCGCGCTGGTAGCAGCGATCCGGACCGGTGCGGGGCTCCGGCCAGACCCGGCGGGGCAGGCCGGCCAGAGGTACCCCGGGAGGCGGGGAGGGGCTGTGGTGGCGGCCCTGGCTGTGCTCCCTGCACTGGGACCTTCGCCTGCCCCGCACCGCGGACCAGGCCTGCTGCAGACGCGGCCGACCCGCCGGGCTGCCAGGGGCCAGGCCCTCCCGGGGGCGGTGCTGTGCAGTTGGAGGCCGCGGCACAGTGTCCATCATGCCGGGGAGAAGTGGGGTTAAGAGCTGGGTCGCAGGCCGGAGAACAGCTCCAGGGAGCAAAGGACGCATCCTCCTGAGACGAAAGCTCGACTTGGAGGTGCCGCGGGGATCGGGCGCCCCGCTCCACGCCAGGACCTGTGGCCGCCGCACGGTGGCTGGCCCCTGCCCCGCCCGCACATCCAGCCGGGGGTGGGGCAGTCTCCGAGAGGGGTCGTGGCCAGCTTGGGACCAAACCAAGCGTCTTCCTCTTTTCTCCACCTTGCCTGCTGCCCCCAGGCTGAGCCGGGCTGGGTAGCCCCCCCTACCCACAGTGGGCCTGGCTCGGGCCGCGGCGGGGACTGTCGCCTTTGCATGCTCATTATTACTGATATCCACTCGTGCGTCCCTAAGCCCCGCTCGGGGACGCCCCCTCTGCCCGGGAAAGGGGGCGGCCCCCGAGGGCTTCGCTCGCTCCCCGGCGCGGCGACCTCGGGCTTCCGGCGGCGGTCGGAGGAAGCGGGGCGGGAGGAGCGGCCGGGGCTTCGCTGCGCGG